TATTCGGTATAAGATAGATTTTTTTTTTTTTTTTTTTTTTTTGCAAATCAAAGATATCAAATATGGTGAGTTTTTTGAAAGTGAGAACAAAGCTAGAATGCATAAAGAAATAATTTGTTAAGCTTCGTGTACTTAAGCAATTAAGCAATTATATTTTATTACAAAGGGCAATATATATAAAACTATTTATTTATCCTTTTTTTATATAGGCTAAAGAGAAGGCACCAAAGTCTTCTTCCGGTGGTAAAAATAAGAAAAAGGTATTACGCATATTAAATTCAGTAGTTTACAAATTACTCTGAATTTTCTCATATAACTTTTATAAATGTATAGAAATGGTCTAAAGGAAAGGTTAAGGACAAAGCTAACAATGCCGTAGTTCTTGACAAAGCAACATATGACAAACTGCAAAAAGAAGTACCAACATATAAATTAATCACACCAGCAGTTTTGGTCGATCGTCTTAGAGTTAATGGATCTCTTGCCCGTATTGCGATTCGCGAATTAGAAGCGAAAGGAAGTATCCGTAAAATATCAACACACTCATCTCTGCCTATTTACAGTATGTATCTACATTGAAAATTTTTTCATCTTGTTCTATAACTAATGGAATTTGTCTTGGACAGCTCGTGCTACTGCTGCTATGGATAAACCAGAGGAAAAATAAGCCTTAATAGATGATATAAAAAAAGGAGGGTTCTTAGATGATTATAATTCTTAATGTCAATGACGTTTATAGCTTTTATAACCCACAAATCTTATTAAATATCAAGCGATTGTATTTAATAAATTCTTTTTAATTATATTTCTTTCAGCAGCTAAATACGTGATGATGGATTTTGATAAATTAAAATAGTTTAAGGAAACTTAAAGTGATGCGTAGTTAATACATCTAAAAACTAATTGCATTGAACTTCCTCTAAGTGCAGCTATTGCCGGGGAACTTTAATAAAAAATATTAGTGCTTGAAGCTTGCATTTAGAAAGAATAAAAATTATATTTATATATCTTGGGACCAAAGCCGGCATTGCTATGATTTTATATAAAACGTCATCATACTAATATCATCATGCACATACAACATATATTTGTTTTAATAAATTAGTTAAACATAAATGCAATTTTAAAAATTATATACTTTAGCAAATGCTTCTGGACATTAGTTCATGAAAGATCAGTAACACAGCGAGACTATAAAAAAAACACTTAAGGATCGCTTTGCGTGATAATTCTTAAAGAAATCAGAGACTATAAGTTTATTACATTTACTTTAAGAACAAATTATTGCTACAAATTTATTCATTTACTTTAGAACTGATTATTGCTGGTTTTTTTTTTGCTTTTTGCTTTTTTTTAGTACGAAAACAATTATGTTCATGGCGAAAACTTATTAACATTCGCCACAATCGACAATCTTGACAGTTTTTTTGGGTTTACCTGAAGAAGTGCCAAAAGCTTCAACTTTGTACACAATATCCATACCTAAATAAGTTGTAAAAAAATTCAATAATGACAGAATTTTCGAGGAAAAAAACACTGTCTAATAAACATACCATCAATCACTTTTCCAAAGACGACATGCTTATTATCCAACCAGGTAGTCTTTACAGTGCAAATAAAGAATTGAGATCCATTAGTGTTGGGTCCAGCGTTAGCCATTGAAAGAGTACCTAATATGCGCAAACGATTTAATTAATCTTATCAAAATGTATTAAGAAAGAATATTATTTCTACAATTATATATACCAGGTCCTTCGTGTTTCAAATCGAATTTCTCATCAGCAAATTTCTCGCCATAAATGGATTTACCACCAGTTCCGTTATGGTTGGTGAAGTCGCCACCTTGAACCATAAATTGAGGAATAATACGATGAAAAGTGGAACCCTTATAGCCAAAACCCTTTTCGCCTGTACACAATGCCCTGAAATTTTCAGCTATTCATTACAAAATAAAATCAGTAAATAATAACTTAATTAATACATAACATTTCTTAAATATTGTTTACCGGTCTTGGGAACGATATCTTTCCTAAGCTCAAACACGATTCTCTATAAAAATAAAATAATTATCATAAATGTGGCCTTATTAAAAATATTCTTAATACATTTATTTAAAACTTACGCCGAGATCTTCGCTGTCAGTTGCAACATCGAAATAACATTTAGGGTTGGCCATGGTTGCTAAAGTTCTAAAAACGGACGTTCGTGTGTTGGCAAATACTTTAGTTCTCAATAAACTAATACCAATCATACTGCGGACCTTGGCGCAGTGGAAAAAAAAGCTTCAATGACAAACTTAGGTAAAACTTACTGGATGTATGGTCGTCAAACCGTACGAAAGAAAAAATGCAAGTTGATGGTTTTTATCATGATCAATTTTTTTTATGGTAACACGATTCATCAAATGTAACATGAGTTTAAGTGTTTCGGTCTTGCAGTATTAATATGCACCATGAAATTTGAACCGGTGCATCTAAAATCTATATTTTTAGATTCAATGGGACTTGAGTAATATTCCCACACTCGTAGGCCAGACGTTTTTAGTATAATTTAAATACCAAAATTCGGGTACTCCGTATTCTACGATTTTTACCTTCTTCAATCAATGAAAAACCATTGGTTATTTTCTTCCTATTACACAGTTCCGAAAAATCTATGTATTACAATATATATTTCAAAATTATGATGATTGATTTTTAGATCATCATACATGTCTTTATTTAGGGGTTTCGACTTACCATAGTCATGTAATTTTAAATTTTTGGGGCTAAATTTCTCGGGATCCAGTGCTGATTCGGATAACTTTGTACCATTTAGATCGATTAAGACAATAACTGCATCCCAAAAAATTTAACATTAACCTCAAGTATTTGATGTTATACAATGTATATTTAAGTGTACAAACGACTGGTCTAGCTTAGAGATGTGCATCTCGCGCGAAATGCCGATGTCATTCTATTGATTTTCGCGCGAGATAATATAAATAATTTACTA